TTCCTAAAACCAAACTATAAATATATTATTTCATTTCCCATTTCACATAAAATGTCATCTTACAATTGAGTATTAAGCAGAACGGTTAAAGGTACACAATTATACATGTAATGCATTACATGCATCCTTGTTACAGCAAACAAGAAACAAGAGCTATGCATTACACTTTTCTTCAATATTCATCAAACTTATTTAACTGATGAGAGTTGGTTTCATACTGCAAATAGTAAATTCTAAACATTGGAGTGCATCAGCGGGGCCCGATTGTCGGTATGACGCCACTGATAAGATTACTTCCCATGAACTCAGCATAATCATGGGGGCTATTGTCTGAAGAAACATGTCGAGGAGCTATCCCAATCCCTGATGATACTCCGGAACCAGAGGCATCTGAGTCTGAAGGAGCAGTTTCAGAATCTCTTAGGGAAGTAATCAAGTTCTCAAGCTCTCTGACAGCCTCCAGCATGGTTGGCCGTGGTTGCGGCTTGTCATGGGTACACTTGAGAGCCAGTGCCATGAATTTCTTGATGCATTCGGAAGAATATGTACCCATGGACTGATCAATCATGGAAAGCATCATCCCAGATTGGCAAGCTGCGGATACCTGCCATTAAGGATTGAAGAAAAACACAAATTTTTTTGGTGGCAAAGAATAAAATTCCGAAAAAAAAAAATTTACTGAGGGCATTCAGTAAAACATATATATAATGTACCTCGCGGACAATATTTCTGCCATGAGATATAGGCTGCATTCCAGTTAGAAGTTGTAGAAAAACAATTCCGAGACTATAAACATCACTCTTCTCAGTTAATTTGTGAGTCAAGAAATATTCTGGATCTAAATAGCCCTATATTAGAACAAAATAACAAAATTAGCTATGCTTATAATATAATAGAAAAGTTTACTGGTACAAAAAACTTGTACATTAACAAAGCCCATATACATTTCCATATCATAACTGGTATTATATGAGTTTCAGATTACGTATAGAAATGTTAATTGATCATATTTCTGGTTAGAAAAATGATTTCTCAGAGCTACGTACCGGTGTGCCTCTCACATTTGTGGAAATATGGGCTGAAGCTCCTTCATCATCTGTTATTGGCACAAGTCTTGAGATTCCAAAATCAGAAACTTTAGGATTCAAATTGTTATCCAAGAGTATGTTGTTCGCCTTGATATCCCGGTGGATTATAGGAGGGTCTGCTTCACTATGAAGGTAGAGGACGCCCTTGGCTGATCCCAATGCAATATGTAGTCTGGTAGTAAGACTTACAGAATTCTTGGACCCTGTGATTTCATACACCAGCAATGTGAAACTAACAAGAAATACATTATTTTTTTAAGGGCCAATTAGAAGCTACACGCGTAACTCGACACAAATATGTGATACCAAAGAAGAAAAAAAAAATATTTACCTGAAAGGAGATCTTGGAGGGAACCATTAGGCATATACTCATAAACTAGCATCTGCAAAGCTCCAAAGGAAAGAAAAAAGGTACATGTTAAGCTTGGTTGCTGTATGCTTCCTGAATGAGTCTGTAATTTTGTAGTTCAAACCCAAAACGGAAACACAGTTTTTGTTCCTACATTCCATCAAGTATTGTTATGATATTGGGAAAGACGTAAGACTGCAGCGACTATACCTGCTCGCCTTGTTCATCACAGTATCCAACCAATGAAACCAGGTTGCGGTGATGTAGTCTTGACAGAATTTCTATTTCAGTGATGAACTCTGTCTGACTTTGCAAAGATCCCTGATGTGCACGCTTGATTGCCACCACAGTTCCATTAGCTAAAACGCCTTTGTAAACCTTTCCGTAGCCTCCCTGGCCAACTTGAGTAGTGATAGAAAAACCACTTGTTGCCTCTTCAAGCTCCTCAAAGCTGAAGTCCTTAACACTTCCAGTTTTGATTGGAACTTTAAAACCTAGGACAAAAAAAAGGGAAAATGAAAGGATGGAGTAAGATAAATGAGTGAAGCCTGAAATGCTTCTAGATACGAGCCAAGACAATATAGGTCTACAATTACTTGTCCGGTTCTTTGTAACTCCAGGTTGGGACTGCTTATGTTTTTTACAGTAGATGAGAACAACAGCCACAGTTGATGCAACTATAAAGAAACAGGCAATGGACCCCAAGATGATGCCAGCTAGAGCCCCTTTGCTCATACCAGATTTTGGAATCTGGAGAAACACTGTAAGAAGAATCAATAGTCCTAGCACCTTTTTCCAACATTCATGTGCTATAGAAAAATTGTAAATTCAAGTTGAATGTTTCAACATGAAAAGAAGTTATGGAGACATACCAGAACCGTAAGGTCCAAGAAATGTAAAATTGAACAGTTCATATGGGCCAGAGATGTCATCAAAAGGTACGGAATAGGTAGCAATCAGGTTCACTAGTCGCTGGACCTCGCTACTGTTGAATGTATGGGTATCGTTTTCATTGGCCTGTGGGAAAAATTTTAAGAACATTGACAGCCTATGACCTTGTTCCCATATATATGGATCGATGACTAGCTGATACTGATCCAATTCAAGAAATGATGTCATGGACCCCTTGTAACCATAAATATATGGGCGGAAATCAGCAAAGCTAGGACTTCTCAATCGTATTAAAACTTCAAGAGGTAAAGCACAGAAGCAGTGGACAGGAGATCCTGAAAGATATGCGTAACCTTCACTGGTTGGACAGCTTTGAGGTGGACATGAGTCAGTAGAGTTACTTGAGCTTCCAGAAGGTTCGACATCTCCATTTGAGGGTCCACAGAACTGGGCTGTGTTCAGTGCGTTTCCTCCCCCACAAACAGGATTTCCATAAAGCCTAAGTATCCAGTGGTTACTGATGAGACATTGAAAGTTCAACAAAATGCTGGACATACTATAATGCAGTAAAATAAAAAAGAAACAATCGCATCATGTACACGATGAAATAAATCAATATCACCTAATGGTGACATTTGCAGGAGGATCTAGACTTCCTGTAATATTTGTAAACAGATTGTTCTCAAAATCTCTGCAAGAAAAGCATAAAGACAGAAGATCAGGTATGATGTCCATTTGAAACTAAGTATTGCTGTCTTTCCAGCGAGTCCAATACTGCCTTACAGGAGAAGTCTTGCAGAACCATTTAGGATCACATTTTGCCAAAGACTGGAAGGAATACTGCCATTCAGCTTATTTTTATCAAGTGACCTGCAGCGAAAGACACACTTCATTTTCTTGTGGAATAACATTATAAAGGAGTAGCCTACAAGTCTGTTGTATACTCATGTTTATCACACAATCAAATTAATTTAAACACAGCGTTGCTCAAAATTTTTGATTGTTAAGTAATTTAACTGAAATTTTCATAGCAAATCCATTTAATAGAAATTCACTTACAATTTCTGAAGTAAGTGTAGGCCTGAAAAATTTGTTGGGATGGGTCCGGTAAGCAAATTGTTGGAAAGAATACTGCTCAAGAAAATAATAACAACAAATCACTTCCATGAGATCAATGGGCGAGACAACAATATAATAGGACATTTGACATTAACAACCACATACATTGCAGTGATGTTATCAGAAAGCCTATTCGTGGGTATCATTCCAGTGAGCTGATTTGAACTCAGATCTCTGTCATGTAAACAATAATAAGAAACCAAAACTTAGCACTATGAGATTGTTACTCTATTCCATGCATAGAGAACCATATCGATACAAAAGATCATGCATATATAGTGAGTGTGACTAATGGATGTGGATGTTGTACATACCTATATAATAAAAACCTGACCAGCTTTATCATCCATAACATGCAAGCATTACTAACAATATCAGGTCGAAGATGCAAGAATGTGCCCCATGAAAACAAGTGATTTTATATTACATGAAAATATAAGCAAATTCCAGGAACTTACACATAACGAAGGTGTTTTATGCTGCTTAAGTCAGGAACAGGTCCTTGCAAACCACAGTTTCCCAGAGTCCTGGTCAGATGATTAATTAAACTAATTTTTACCAGTATATAACATTTTAAAGATCAAAGATTAGTCCTAAAAATCAGTATATATAAATGCATAGGACCCCATGCTTGCAATTTTGCCACTGAACTTATCTTGATTTACTCTTCTCTTTCACCATTTGAATAACACAATTGGAAAAAAATTAATGGGGACTGGAGAAAAAGAAACAGAACTAACAGTTTCACAAGTCCAGACATGTGGCTATAAGAAGGCGGAATTGTTCCCACAAAGTTGTTGTTGTCAAGTTGGCTGCAATAAGGACACATGGTTTTTTAACCTTGGTGAAATAAATATAATCTAAAGAGTGGTTAGATGAGAATGCTTAGATGAAAATGAAGAGTACAGAATTCTTAGTTTTGGCAGCTGTGAGAACTCCTCCGGTAGGTGTCCCGACAAATTGTTATTCTCCAACATGCTGATAGGAGCAGTAAATATTAGGGAGAGTACACACAATTCTACTGAATTAAACACAACAATCATTTATCAAAAACTTACAAATGCAAAAGTTGAGGTAAGGTGGAGAGCTCTGAGGGGATTTGGCCACTGATTGAGTTATTGTTCAAATGACTGCAAGTTAGAAAAATTTTTATTAAGGAATATCAAAGTTACTTTTTTTATAATAAGAACCGTTTGCTTCTAGCATAACTGACTTACAAGTGCTTGGCACTACGCAGATTAGCAAATGATTTCGGCAGTGGTCCAGTTATATTGTTATAATCCACTTGAAGTATTATTAAATTAGGCAGATAACCAAGCTCAGCCGGTAAAGGCCCTGTAAGATTATTTCCACTCAATAGCCTGCAACCAAGAACACTTCCCTAGTGAGCGTTTTTTATTAGTTTCAGACGATTGTACGAGTTTAGAAGAATATCAATTTGACTCACAAGATTTTCAAATTACTTAGGCTGCCTATCTCCTTTGGTATGCTGCCACTGATATGATTCCACATAAAATCCCTGGTAAAAACAGTAAGTAACAAGAACAAGTTATTGTCAAAAGGGCTTAATCGGTTACAAGAATGAAGACTTGGTTTGATACAAAATATCCATATCCACCAAAACAATCCTCGGAGTTTGGTGTTATAATGACATAACTTACAATATTGTCACAAAAGTCAGTTCACCAAGTTTAGGAGATAGTTCTCCGAACAGATTCAATTTTAGCAGCCGTCTGCATCAAGAAATAGATCAGAAGTTAAAGAACAACAGGAAATATTATCCCGGAAATTGCTGCAACAACGAAATTGATTAACTGATTCCAACTCTTAGCATAAACATAACATTAATCAAGTGACATATAAGATCTTTATTCTATTTGAAGGAGAATGCGAATGGGCATAACCAAATGCGGGAAAACTAGAACTTGTGCTGTATCATGGAGACATGTCTACTGTTGGGGAGACATCTTGCCTAGCAGGAAGAGATTTGGTGGAGATAAGTTCTCCTTCAACACTCTCCTTTCACTTGAGTGAGTTGTGAAAGACTCAAAGTTCATTGGTCTACTCATCATGGATGCAACAACATCCATGTGTATACCCATCATGAGTTTACATAACATACACTCTTACTTTTTTTGCTAAGCCTGGCCCAAGATCTAAATTACCACTGGCTGTGCTAATAGCTCTGATATAGGGATGGCAGCTCTCTGCGAGGATAGGGACCCCTTCCCTGTTCCTGTCCCCACCAATGATGGGTAGAGTCTTTGACAAATATTAAAATTACACAATTTAACCTTTTTTTTAATAAATAAATTTTATAAAATTATATAAAAGGTAATTCATGAAGCATACAAACAAAAACTTGCAGAAGAAAAGCATACAAAAAATTTCAAAAACACTCTAAAAATCCATTCCATAGACCTAAATAAGTTTTACATAAGTAATAAGTTCTCCGAAAATCCATTAACAACACCAAAAAGAGAGGAGAAATTTGAAACTAGCAAATGGCTAATAGTCCAGCAAATCCATAAATGACACCAACAAAGGAGAAGAAATTTGAAATTAGCAAATGCATAAATATCCATCATGTTACATTTAGTAAGGGAACACTGCAGTGCAGCAGCAACTCAGGCTTTTGATCAATAACAACTTTTAAGTTGAGGAAGTAACTTCCTTAAAAAAGTACCCTGTCAACATAATCTGAAAAAAATTGTGGGTTTGGGGGAAGAGGAATTGTACTAGGCTGCCAGCAACTTGGGTCGGGTTGGTTAAAAATTAATTGATTTTTTTTTTATAAATATATTATAATTTATAAAGGAGAAAAATGTTTGTCAACTAGGCCTCTAGAAAATTAAGAGGAAAAAAATATTACTACTATGTTATTTCAATAAACTCTTATTAAAAATACTAAAGTAACTTATTTTTAAACCAAAATTAAGTTAGTTTTAGTCTTTTTCCCACGGTATTTAAATGAAACGACGTTGTTTTGAAGAGTTTATCTTCTTAATTTTTTAGAGACCTGATTGACAAACCTCAATCTCTTTGTAAAGATACAAATTTATATTTTTTTATTATACATGTATTCCCATGAGACATATGAGGCAAAGGAAAATCCCCATAAAATTTTGAGGAATATTATTCGAATCATTTCAAAGAAAATTGCTATCCCAACTCTAATGTCACTTGTTGGGGAGACATTTGGAAGCTCATTATATGTTTTGACACCATATTAAAATCAAAAGACTAACCCAATCCAGTCCTTTTTTTTTTTATGAGTCTTTGACATATTTAAACAACTCATCATTTTCATTTTTTTTTTTTAATATGAGACTCTAATTCTTTCACACTCACAAAGGAATAACATATTTTAACGCCAAAAATGAGGAAATAGAAAAGGCAACACCAAGAAGCTATATAGAAATTAATCAAAATAACTAGAACACTGAATAAATAATCATACAATTCTCCAACGTGCATATAACCATCACTTTGATCAGGGTAGCAGATAACACCAGTCCAGTTGGATGTGCATGGATCCCCGCTTTTCGTCCAATCAAGGTTATTGCTTGAGTCTTTAAGCTTATCGTGAATAGCTCGTAATGCTTTCACTGCAATTCAGGTTAAAAGTTCACTGTAAGGTAAGTAATCAAGCATGAATGGGTCTGTAACCTATAACTTGAATATTTTTTAGTTTAACATACAAACAGGCAAAACTGGAGCTGGCATATAAGAAGAATTCAAATCAAA